GACAATGGCCCATTTTTCGAACACTTTGAAGATAAAAAAATTTGAAAATTAAATTTTTAATAGTGAAAAAATTGACCTTCCATTCTTTGGTTTTATTGTTATAAACATTTTTATTAAATTTATAAAGTGCGACAGAATTTCAAAAATTCAGCCTCATCAATCGGACAGTTAATTTTTTTGTAACTATGTATTTCCTTTATTTCTATTCGTAAAAAAAAATCTGAAAATGTTCACCAAGCATTACAAAATAAACTCACTATTGAATCGCCCATTTTTCTAACACTTTGAAGATTTTTTTTTTTAAGTGAAAAAATTGACCTTCCATTCTTGGTTTTATTGTTATTAATCTTTAATTAAATCTGATAAGAAAAAAAGGCTTAATTAAAACAATAAGTATCCTAGAACCGTGTGATTTAGTACAAAAAGAATTGCAAATCATTGTTTTAATAAAAAAATCGATTACAATTAAATTAATATCAGCCGAAACTTCTGATTTTGTTCATAAAAAATCCGACCATTACCTTATTTTAACAGAAAGGAGAATTGGGTGAGAAAATAACATTATTAGACGCTCCCGACCGATTTAACCGATTGTTATTAATTAGATTTATTTGTAAACATTTTGGGGTTGATGTTGTTGATCAGTTTCAATTCATCCTTCCTGTTGGCAAGATTGCACAAAACACCGGTCTATTTTCGCTGCTTAACGCTGTTTTATTTTCGGAATGGGGAAAATGCAAATCAAGCACGAAATACGACTGCAGGTTTGCCAAGTTTACCGGAGGGAAATTTTCACTCTGGAAGGAGAAGAAAGCCCGGGCAGGAGGACGATGGCCGACTTATAACTTTAACGGAGAATGGGTGAAAGATGAGCATTCTGAAGAGGGATTATAACGAGTGAAGGGAAATCGGCTCATTTGGTGGAGAGTAGTTACATTAGGTGTAAAATCAGAGGAAAAAATATTCACAGATGAGAAACTACAGTATTTCCAAGGTTGTACATGTTGGAGTAAAGATTTAAAAATGAAATCAGTCTGCTGGCGACCATGGTTAATAAAAATATAATTAATAGACCAACATAAAAAGCTATTATGCCAAAAAAAACCTTAGAAAACATAAACTTCAATGTTCACAAAACCTTGGTCAACGGTGAGCATCGAGTGCAGTCGGTGCAACATGAATGAAAATTTAAAAAAAAAAATGAAGTCACAATGAAAAAAAAAGAGATTCAACGAGGACGTTTTCAACGAAAAGTACAGTATTTCATGGTTTGAACGTATGTGTAATAAATGTTAAGGAAATCTGTCAAATCTTCACACGAAATTCATAGAAAAAACATTTTATAGTCAATATACATGAACGATATGTTATGATAAAAATAGTGGGTACAAATAAATTTCGACGTCGAAGATCCATTAGATTTCGTGGTCCGATTGACCAAATAAATTCTTTTTAATTAATTAATCTTTAAGTAAGGTATTGGTTGAGATAAAAAAGTCAGTGTCACGAGCGGGATTCGAACCCACGACCTTCGGCTAATACGCCGCTGCTCTACCACTTGAGCAATCGTGACTTCGATCCAATCGGAGACCAACCTCCCATCTCAACCCACTTTCGAATTTTCCCTCCTATTTGCCATTTCTCAAATATATTAAGAAGATCGTGGGTTCGAATCCCGCTCGTGACACTGACTTTTTTATTTCAACCAATACATTACATAATGATTAATTAATTGAAAGAAGTTAATGAAGATCTGGTTAACGGAAGGGTCGGGTTGGTGGGACGGCAAAGTTTGCTGCGCTCCGCTTCTGCATGTTGCAGTACTTGAAAAATTAATGTAAAATGAAGTAAAAGAATCATAGATGGTAGCATAATGAAAGTTAGCAATGAAAAAGTACAGTATTTCATGATGAGACCCTGTTGAAATAGATTTTGAGGAAATCGGTCAATAATCGTCTTTTATAAATAAAAATGTAATTTATAGTTTTAAAAAAAGCTATTAGATTTAAAAGATGTTAAGGAAGAAAAATGTGGACAACAATAAGTTTTTCGGGGGCGTCGGTGGCCGCAACGGTTTAGGTGTTGACATGGCGCTCATCACTGTAAGGTAAAGGTTCCGGGTTCGAATCCAGCGGTCCTGCATTCGAACCGACATCCTTACAAATGGGCTTTTTTTTTTCGAAAACATCAGCACCCCGAGGGTTCATATAACCTCGTAGTTGAAATACCCTCGTAAAAAAAATATAATAAAATAAATAAATAAATTTCCATGTTACAGAAATTTGATTAACGGTGTGCTTCGAGCTGGCGAGGCGGCAAAGTTTGCTGCGCTACCCTACTGCAATTTGCAATAGGCGAAATATTAATTTAAATTGGAGAAAAATAATTTAAGATGGTAGCATAATGAAAACGTCAGTGACAAGTAGGAAGTTATCAATGAAAAAGTACAGTATTTCATGATGTGACCATGTTGAAATAGATTTTGAGGAAATGTGTCAAATCTGTAATCGTCTTTTGTAAATAAAAATACAATTTATAGCCAAATAAAGCTCGATACAAGATCGATCATGTTATACCAGAAAATATTGGACAAGAAATTTTGACGTTTATAGAGATTTGGTTATCAGTGTGCATCAAGTTGGTTCGGCCGTAAAAATTGCTGAGCATGGGCGACCCACCATATTTGCCGGTTAAGAAGTGTTAAATTGAGTGAAATACTTAAACTCCACAAAATGTAATGAAAAAGAGTAATTTAAGTCGAATTAGTAGAAAATAATTGGCCGATTATAAAATCCATGAGTTGGTGGGGCTGTAAAAATTGACGGTCTTTGGCAACCCACCATAAATAACGGTTAAATTGAGTGAAAAATTATTTAAATTGCAAAGAAAAAAATGCTACGCACGAATTGCAATTTGGGTATTTTTTACAATTTGTCAGTTATTGTCCAAAATATGTTTGTTTCTCAAAAATAAAAATATCTACTTTGACCAAGCCAAATGCAACATAGTAGAAAATAATTCATGGTAAGGCAAAAAATATTGGGATTATTGACAAATATTGCTGGCCGTTGGCGACCCACCATATTCGCCGGTTCATAAGTGTTAAAATTCTGCTTAACCAAATCTCCCGAAAATAATCCAAGGTGTAGAATTAGTTGGTCGCATACTGAAAGCTCGAGTTGGTTAAATAGTGTTAGAGTACGTTAAAAAAATATTTAACAGCAAAATAAAATGCAATGCAAGAATTTCAACATCATTAGACAAAAAGGTATTTTTGCTTGTTACACGATGTGTCAGGTTTTGCCAAAAATATGTTTTTCTCAAAAATAAAATTATCTACTTTGACCAAGCTAAAACCAACTTAATAGAAACTAGAAATAATGAATTGTATGGCCGTTTACAGAAACTTTAGTTAAATATGAATTGTTCGGCAAAAATTGTTGAGCGTTGGCGATCCACCATATTCGCCGGTTCAGAAGTGTTAAAATGATTGTCCAAAGAAAAGAAAAAAACTAAGCTAAGCCAAATTTATAGAAAATAATCCATGGTGTCACAAGAAATAGTGGAATACCATACTGAAACTTTGAGTTGATAGAGTAGCAAAAATGGCTGGATTTTGCCAACTTGCCTGTTAAATTGAGTGAAAAATTAAATAAACTCAAGAAAAACGTGCTTTGAACGAATTGAAACCTCAATAGGCAAAGAGCATGTTTCCCTCCAAAACAATTTTCAGATTTTGCCCAAAATCTTTTTGTTTTTCAACTGTTGAACGTGATTGAGTTGGTGGGGCGGCCAAAATTGCTGGATGTTTGTGATGCGTTCGCCGGTTCAAAATTGTTAAAACAAAATCAAAAGGCCAAATTTAAAAAAATAATCCACAAATATTGGCTTCAATGTCGTATACAGAAACGTTGGATTGGTGGAGCGGCCAAAATTGCTGCGAATTGGAGACCCATCAAATTTGCCGATCCTATTTCAGAACTGTTAAAGCATGTGTAAAATCATGTAAATAAAAAGAACACAACCCAGCAATTGTACTATTAATACAAGAAAAGTATTGATTTTTTACTACAGAAAATCTACTTTTTTTTATCCACTTCCTCACCAAATCCAAAAAATGTATTGTAAATAAATAAAATTTGCAAATATAAAATTCAACAAACTGCCTGCCTGAATTTGAGTTGGCGAGGCGGCGAAATTTGCCGTACTGATTACTATACAAAACAAAAAATTTTCTTTCAATAGTTTAACTATTCTGGTGAAAGAAATAAAACTGAAAGCCGTTCGGTCGAAAAAGAATTTTAAATTTTGATAATGCGCTTCGACAACAAAAAAAAGCGGACATTAATGATGACATGATAACGATAAGGTTTTTTTTTACAACAAATAAAAAACAATTAGATAACATTAAATGTTTAATTATATACAGCATACATTATAATGTATGTTCATTCTATGAAACAAAAGCTTGAAAATAAAAAGTACTTAATATATTTGGCTTATTTGAAACACAAGTAATAATATTTTTGGGAACAAACCTTACAGAATGCAACTATCTACCTGATTTCCAGATAAAAACCAAATAAATTTAAACGATGATTTCCGGGAGAGCGGAAAGAACTTTAAAAAGTCTAAAAACTTGCGATAATCTTGATTCAGAGAATAAGAATTGGATGATGAGTCGACTGAAGATACTGGAAAACTGCTCTTCGACCAATTTCATCATCCGTTGATTTTCTAAAGGAAGAAGTCTGACGTGGCCTTTTGGAATTCCAGAACGGAGGCGGAGCATTAAATTATGCTGTTTATCAGATCGAAAACATTCGTTTGACTTATTCGAAAATTCACTCAAAACTTGAAAAACGGGCCAAAATTTTTGATCTAAAAACCTTTCGTAATCATCATAGTTCGATCAATAATTATGTTAGAACTTTAAAATCCTATCTGGTACAAGAAGAAATTTTTTTGTCAGTCTAAAATTAACATGTTTATTTTTCCAGGTCTGCCAATCGCACTCTTGGCCGGCGCGTGCATCATCTTCACTGATGGGGTTTTCAGGTTAGGGTATAAGTAGGGTGAGGCACATGCCATCAACTGAGGATGGCGAAAGAACGAAAAAAAGTTTTTTTTTTTAAAGACTAAATAGCAGACTGGCTTATGACCTTGTTGACCTCAACAAGAAATCACCAAACACAAATGCACAAATAAATGATCATCCCAGCAACGATACCCACTGATAAATTAGTTTTTATCCAAACCCATAAAATACAGGAAATTTTAATATAAATTATCTTATTCTGAACAATAGCCTAGTTCTGTTATAATCATAATGTATGTAAACTAAGCGAAACCTCACGGACCCTCATAAAACTGTTGACAAGCAAGAAGCACAAGTTTTTTTGTTTTTGTTTTTTAATTTCTTAAACTCAAATGTCAGTCAAGTCTGTCTAAGCCGGCGCGTTGCGGCATCTTCAAAGTTTGGTTTTCAGGTCAGGGTTATAAGTAGGGTGAGGCAAAGCCCACAGCTAGCATGACGAAACAACAAGGAAAAACCTCACTAAATATATACAAACTAATAATCATCAACGATATTGGCATGACAGAACAATTTTCTTTAATCCAAGCCCCAAACAAATACAAGACAGTTCAATATTTATTATTTGATTTTTAGTAATAACTTAGTTATGTCATAATCACGGTGTATGTAAATTAAGCGAAACCTCACGGACCCTCTTAAATCTTTTGATACGTAAGAAGCACAAGATATTCTTGAAAATTTAATTTTTTTAAATCAAATCTCAGTCAAAAATTAACATGTTTCTTTTTCCTGGTCTGCCAACGCTGTCTTAGCCAGCGCGTTGCGGCATCTTCAGTGTCGAGTTTTCAGGTCAGGGTTATAAGTAGGGTGAGGCAAAGCCCACAACTAGCACTGCGAAACAACTAGAAAAAACTGGGTTTTCAAACGAACAAACTGCTGACTGTTGATCTCGACCAGAAATCACTGAAGATATACAAACTAATGATGATCAACGATATTGCCATGACAGAAATTGTTGTTGTTTATCCAAGCCCAAAAAAATACAGGCAGTTCAATATATTTTATTTTTAGTAAAAGCCTAATTATGCCATAATCACGGTGTATGTAAATTAAGCGAAACCTCACGGGCCCTCATAATTCGTAAAAGGTTTACTTCCTCAAACTCAAATGTATTGCGGCATCTTCATGGTGGGTTTCCCGATCAGGAGTATAAGTAGGGTGATACGCAAGTCCCCTAGCATGGCAAAATAAATAGGAAAAACCGTTTTTTTTTTTTTTTCATACGAATAACTCAAGTGTCTTATTTTATGGTATATAAGAATCTTTCAATACACACCGAATTGCCTTTGATATAAATTAATTATATATTATTAGGAGATGATGGTGATTAGTAAACAAGTGAGACCTTCAAGAACCGAACGCCCCAGGCATGTTTGATTCTTGTATTAAAAATAAATCACATAAATAATGAACCAACATTTTTTTCATTGTTTCAGGGAGGGGAAAACTGGTCATTATTAATCTGATAGGAAATCTTCTTGTTTAAAATTTGTTGATTTCAGTCCCTACCTCAACAAACTTCTTTTCTTTTTTTTTCTTATACTTCTAAAATTCAAAATAGGCAAAATCTTTAATATAATTTAAAATATTGTTTTAACTTTTACACAAAAATGTTCCTTAACACGAAAATTGATATATTTAAAAGAACCAAAAGATCAACTCGTTCCGGAATGCCTCGATTTCTTCGAGACGAACCTTTGAACTGTTGTCCGAGAATGTATTATTTAATTATTTTTTAAAACGTTCAATTGCGTCAAGTTTCGAGGAAAAGGGGTTTATAAAAGCGTTAATAAAAATAGGAAGTGGAACAATTTATCCTTTGGCCAAGAAAAGACCGGCAAAGACAATAAACAACAACACCGAGGCAACGTGGCCAGACCTGTTTTAAAAACACAAAGATTGCGTCAATAATAAATTTAAATGGTTAAATTCCTTGTGTTATACAATGCTTCATATTTTATGCTCGACGATAATCTTTTTTCTTTTGTAATTTCATTTTCATCAACTGCTCAGATATGCAAAGCATGGCCTTCCAGCACAAATCCACACTTGATAACCTAGCCAACCTCGTTTAAATTATTTTAAAAAAACACTATTTCACAATTGCAGGCTTTGTAATGATAATTTCATCGGCTTTTTGATTTGATTTTTTTTAAACTAATTAAACCTATTTACAGGAAGTCTAGCTTGATCTATTTTTTCCCAGTGATCATATTCGCCAAACATCACCAGTCGTTTTGAAATATAATTTTTTTCCTTTAAGAAAAAAGCTGAGGTTGAGGAATGCCCTAAATAGATATTCAAATATATAGTAGTATGAAAATCAAACATAGAAAATAGATAACAAATTGGTCCTTGCATTTTCAAATTAATGTTTCGTAAAAATGACATGTTTTGATATTTTTTTCACATTTACATGATACCTTATATTTTTTTATCATAATATTATTTTTGAAGGGAAAATCTCAGGAATGCAGTGATCAGTGATTGTTTCAACAGGTAATCAGTAGTGGTTTATGGAAAGACAATGGATTATGTTCTAATATTTTCACGCCTCTACCAAACTTCCTAATGGAGCTTTTACTAAAAGTTGTTTTTCTTTTTAAAAATGTACAAATTGTAAGCGTTAACGGTTCTCTTTTAATCAGAAGACAACTGGTTCTTTATAAGGCGATCATTTCTTGCATGTATAATATAAATTTATTTCGTAGCGATAATTTCCGTTTTTCCTCTCAAATGACAATTTTTGGATTATTTTGTTTTTTGGTTCCTTCTTTTTACTAATCCATGATTATAATGATCCTTTTTTTTGTAACTGTTTTTCTTACTAGTCCATAACTGTACTGTCACTTTTTGTCTTTTTATAAATACCAACTTTCTTACTAGTCCATAATTATAACACTGGATTTTTTTTTTTTTTTTGTAAATGTTTGCTTTTTTTCTTACTAGCCCATGATTATAATCACACTATTTTGAATTTTTGTAAATGTTATCTTACTAGCCCATAATTATATTGAAACTTTTAAGACATTTAATTTTTTTGTAAATATTTCCTTTTTGCCTATGGTTGACATTTTTTTGTGAATCCTTTCTTACTAGCACATAATTATCAGGACAATTGTTGTTTTTGTAAATACCAAATTTATTACAAATCCTTAATTGTAACGACACTTTTTTGACCTATTTTGCTTTTTATAAATGTTTTCTTACTAGCTCATAATTATAATGGAACTTTTTAGACATATTTAATTTTTTTATAATTATTTTCTTTTATTTGCTTTTATGCCTATAATTATGGCATTTTTCCACATTGTATTATTTCGTCTCAAAAGTCGGGAAAAAATAAATTAATCAAATAAAGAGAAGAGAATCTAGTTTGATTTAGTCAGATTTTTTTAACTTTCGTGCAGCTTCTTAGAAAAGATGCTTTTATTATTAAAGATTTTTTATTTATTTTTACTAAAGAATCAAGTATTGTTTCGTCCTAAAAGTCGGTAAAAAATTATTTAAAAATAAATAAAGATGGAGAAGCTAGTTTGATTTAGTCAGTTTTTTTAAATATTAGCTTTCGAGTACGTTCTTTTTTTTCCTTTTTTTTTAGAATTGAGTCCACATTGTATTATTTCGTCTCAAAAGTCGGGAAAAATGATTTAAATTAAACAAAAGAGGGTGAAGCTAGTTTGATTTAGTCAGTTTATTTTTATCTTTCGTGCAACTTCCTTGACGTTTTTAATTAATGAAGGTTTTTCATTATTTTCAAGATAAATAATATCTAAAATTTACATTACAATCATATCAATCACGTTTATAATCCAAATATGAATACGGCTATTTTTTGATTTGTACCGATTTTTTGTTCTAAGTTAGCCTTCACGTATATTTTTGGAAATTTCTTCAATATTTCATTCGCGAAGAATCAAACAAAGAGGAGAGAAGTTTATTTGGCTTAGATAATTTTTATTTTATTTTAGCATCTTTGATTTTTTTTCTGATTATTAATGTAGGTTTTTCATTGTTTTCATGACAAATAATATTTAAAAGTACAATGACAACCATACAAATTACGCTTAAAGCCCAAACATGACTGAAGCTATTTTTGAATTGGACCGATTTTTTTCTGTTTGCTTTAACGTATATTTTTCAAAATTTGTTCAATTTTTTTCGAGAAGAATCAAGCAAAGAGGAAAGATAAGTTAATTTGACTTAGATAATTTTTTTTCTTTAAATTTTACCTTCCTTGTAGCTTCTTTGAAAGCATACTTTTTTAGAGATTTTCGATTCTTTACGGAGAAAAAGTCCAAATTGTATTGCTTTATTTTAAGTCAGGAAAAATGATTTAAATACGGAGGGAAAAGATAGTTTGATTTGGTCAGATTTTTTTCACATTTGTTTTAAAAATAGATATACAACTATATAGTTGTATGAAAATCGCAGATTTTATCTAAATTTCACACGACCCACTTCCTAGAGTTATTTCTCAAACATACAAAATAGATAAGAAATGATCCTTACATTTTCAAATTAATTTTTCGTAAAAATGAGCGAGAAGCTGGTTTGATTTGATCAATATTTTTTTTAAATTTTCGTATATCTTCTTTGCAGACGCTTTTATTAATAAAGATTTTTCAATTCTTATTATGAAGAATCGAGTCCAAATTATATTGTTTCGTCTTAAAAGTCGGGAAAAATTATTTAAATAAAGGACGAGAAGGTAGTTTGATTTAGTCAGATTTTTTTTTAATGTAACTTTCGTGCAACTTCTTTGAATGTTATGAAGGTTTTTCATTATTTTCATGACAAATCGTATTCAAAATTATATTATAACCATACAATTTATTACGTTTAACGTCCAAACAAGCTATTTTTAAATTTGACCGATTTTTCTTTCTATTTAACGTATATTTTTGAAAATGTGTTCAATATTTTTTTTCGTGGAGCATAAAACGAAGAGGATAGATAAGTTAATTTGAATTAGATTTTTTTAATATTAGCTTCCGTGTAGCTTTTTTGATTTTTCTAATTATTAATGTAGGTTTTTCATTATTTTCATTACAAAATCGCATTTAAAAGTACTATTACAACAATACAAATTACGTTTAAAATTCAAACATGAACAAAGCTATTTTTGATATGGGCCATTATTTTTTTTTTTTATAATAGCTTTCACGTATTTTTTTTTCTTAAATTTATTAATTTTTTGTTTTTATGAAGAATCCAGGCTTAAACAAACATACCAATCGTGTATACGGGTCAGTACAAGAGGAGAGAAAAGCAAGTTTGACAGTTCAATGTATTCATCTTGTAGGACCACGATGGCTCTTTGTTTTATTTAAATTAAGTCTTTTTCTACAGTTGATCGTAAAATTATCAAGTGTGATATTGAAAAAAAAAAAAAAAAAACCCGGTCAGTAGACCACGTGTGCCGTTGACGCGACGACACGAGATCGAGTAGATGGAATTTACGCCACCGGGTCTTTGATCCCGTGGGAGACTCAACCCGCAACCACGTGGTCCACGCCCAGCGATAACCTATAACCACTTGTTCGTCCGTTTTAAAATAAATGGTTTATGGAGTGAAGGGTGGAAGGAAGGGTGGTTCTCGATCGAGGGGAGACGGCCTACCCTTTACCCAGGTGCCGTCGTCAAGGAGATTTTGCGTCGATTTCTACGGAGGGAGGTTCGAACCGGCTTTAAATATAAAAACTGTTGTTTAAAGGGAACGGGCCAGATCGTATTTTTCACCCGGTACAACTCTGGAGGAAGTCGGGATATAGGTTAAGTCGTCGGCTTGGTGAGGAGAAAGGGGATCGGCGGAATCGGTGCCCTAGGACAACGGGTCGAAAGAAGAAGAATTTATCTGTGTAAACAAAAAATCGAAGCTTACGTTTCTGATTTTTGTCATCCGAGTAGTACTTGGTGACGATGATCCACCCGAGGAGGACGGTGATAAAAAAGGGCAAATAGTTCGATAGGAGCGGGACGAGCGTCTTGTTGAGGATTCTGGCGGCCTCGTCCATTTTCCCTGGTGTCCGCCGGGAAAGCGGCTCTCAAAGTCAACAGGAGAGAACTGGGGGGGTCGTCGGCCTTGTTTTCACGGGGAGAGAACTTGTCCGGTGCCCGCGGGAAGACTGAGGCCGGTTCGTCTCGATCTGGAGTCTCTCGGTTTCACCGTTGGGGACCGTGCGGGTCGCATCTCTCCGTCTCACGTCTCGGCGTCGGCGGCCATCCCTGGAATCGTCGGCGGTCGGCTCGTCGTCGTCGTCGTCGTCGCTGTCGTCGTCGTCGTTGGCGTCTGGAGATGATATCCTGACGGGTTTCTGGAATCGACTGGCCCTGGCGGCCGGCGGCACCCTGGGTCCGCAATACGCTACACTGATCCCCACTTTCCGCCTCGCGCTCCCTCCAGTTCGTGCCCATTCACCGAGCTAGAAACGGCCCGCGCCACGGCTCCAATCCCTTCGAACCGCACTACGTCTCTCTAAGTACCTCCCGATAGAAATTTCTCGCCTAAACCTACTTTTGGATTTTGTTTCAGCTGACATTTTTGACTTTTTACCCACTCAGATACTCCTCTACTAAACCACTTATAAATTAGCCTACGACTCAGATAATAGATAATTGTCACATTACCATTTGTATTATTTCCCAACGATTCCTCAGTTTTCATCAGGATACAATGAATGAACATTTTCCTTTCTAAATCTCCATGACGTAAATTTTAGAGTCTTTCTTAAAAATTGCATTATGCAAAATAAATGAATTTTGGTGGTAAAAAAATATTTACATACGACTTTAATAAATAATGTTTTTAACATTCTGCCCGACGGAGACGATACACAAAAAAATTCTACTGTTAACGAAAGGTTATTTTTTGATAGGAGAAATTTTAGAAAACATCCCTGGCTGTTACAAAGACGATCCACTGGAAACCGTCACTGGTTTCCCTCTCAAATTCGAAAACTGTCTCCAAATTTAAAAAATTTCTGTTAAAAAATAAAAACCAGTGTTTCTGAAAAAGACTAGTGACTTTAGTAACTTATTCCATTCACGAGTAATCAAGCTTAGAACATATATGTAGTTGTTAGGTCTGAAGAAAAATAAAATAAAAATCCATCATTTCCCTCTAAAATTCGAAAATTATCTTCACATTTAACACTGTTAGGAAATAAAAAAAAAGATCTTTCTGAAAAAGACTAGTAACTGATTCCATTCATAGTAATCTAGCATAGAGTATGCATGTTGTTGTTAGGTTTGAAGAAAACGAAAAAAATCCATCATTTCCCTCTCAAATTCGAAAATAATTTTGACATTTAACAAATTTCTGTTAAGGAATGAAAAAAAGGTGTATCTGAAAAAAAAACTAGTAACTTTAGTTACTTATTCGATTTATACTAAGTTTAGAAAATGTATGTAGTTATTAGGTATGAAGAAAAAGAAAAGAAAAATTCGTCATTTCCCTCTAAAATTCGAAAATTATCTCCACATTCAACAAATTACTGTTAGGAATTGAAAATAGTATTACAGAAAAAGACTCGTAACTTTAGTGACATATTCAATATATACTAAACTATCTTAGTACGTATAGTTGTAGGTGTGAAGAAAAAGAAAAGAAAATATTCATCTTTTCCCTCTAAAATTCGAAAATAATGTAAGCATTTAACATATTTCTGTTAGGAAATGAAACAAAGTGTGTCTGAAAAAGACTAGTAACTTAAGTAACTTTGAGTCATCGTAATCTAGCGATGAATATTCATGTAGTTGTTAGATCTGAAAAAATGATAAGAAAATATCCATATTTCCCTCTCAAATTCGAAAATAATCTCCACATTTAACAAATTTCTGTTAAGGAATGAAAAAAAGGTGTATGTGAAAAAAACTAGTACTTAAGTGACTTATTCGATATATACTAATCTAGTTTAGAAAATGTATGTAGTTAGGTCTGAAGAAAAATAAAATAAAAATCCTTCATTTCCCTCTCAAATTCGAAAATTATCTTCACATTTAACACTGTTAGAAAAGAAAAAAAAGTGTTCTGAAAAAAGAGTAGTAACTTATTCGATTCATAGTAATCTAGTTAGAATATATATGCAGTTGTTAGGTCTGAAGAAACCTAAAAGAAAATATATTATGTCTTGAATAATATATTATGAAAATATATATCCATTATGTCCCTCTCAAATCCGAAAATAATTTTCACATTTAACATATTTTTGTTAGAAAATGAAAAAAAAGTATTTCTGAAAATGACTAGTAACTTTAGTGACTTATCCTGTTCATACAGATCTAACTTAGAATATATATTTAGTTGTAAGGTTGTAACAAATTTTTAGAAAACATCCCTAACACAGACGGTCTGTATGTTGTTGTTGTTAGGTCTGAAGGAAAAGAAAAGAAAATATCCATCATTTCCCTCTCAAATTCGAAAATTATCTTCACATTTAAAAAAAATTGTTCTAAGAAATGAAGAAATATGTTTCTGAAAAAGTTTAACTATTAACTTGTAACTTATTCCATTAATAGTAATGTAGCTCAGAATATATATGTAGTTGTAAAGTCTGAAGATGACGAAAAGTAAATTCATCATTTCCCTCTTAAACTCGAAAATAATCTCGACATTTAAAAAATTTGTTTTAGGAAATGAAGAAATGTGTTTATGGAAAAGTTTAACTAGTAACTTTAGCAACTTATTCGATTCACATTCCTTGCTTAGAACATATATTTATCAGAACTGGAGAAAACAAAAAGAAGATATTTATCATTTCCCTCTCAAATTCGAAAATAATCTATACATTAACAAATTTCTATTAAGGAATGAAAAAAAATGGTTTCTAGAAAAAACTAGTAACTTTACTAAGTTATTCGTTTCGTACTAACCTAGGTTAGAACATATAGTTTTTAGGTGTGAAGAAAAAGAAAACAAAATATCCCTCGTTTCCCTATCAATTTCGAAAATAATTTTAACATTTGACATATTTCTGTTAGGAAATGAAAAAAAAAATGTTTCTGAAAAAGACTAGTAACTTTAATATCTTCGATTCATAGTTAATACTGCTGCTGATGATGAAATTAGGAAGCTGGTTTTGTGCTCCCCAGGCGTTGCAGCCTTTTGGCTTATTGTTCGTTCCTAGTTCCCTAGTTCAGTGTAACCGGCTCAATCCTTCTTCTTAGAAGTATCAGGTCATTGACTGTAGCTGCTACAATTTCATTCTCTAGATTTTTTTTCGTATCTTAGGTTAAATCTCCATTGAGCAGTTGCTTCGCATTCGAAGATGATATGGGTGGCTGGTTCCTCCTCTTTGGATAATTTGCAGATGGGATCATCGTTGTATATGCCCACGTTGTGTAGATGGATAGTAGTCCTGTCACTCCTATGAGTCTATCCCTTTACAATTTCAGGGTATGCCAGTCTTGGGGAGGATTGTTTCATCGTAAGTTTACTGTACCTAGCACCACTAGAGTTTATCCACTTCTCCTTTAATTTTATACACATGTCGATATCCTAAGTATAAGTTTCAAGAATGGCACCATCCTTTACTCACATGGTACACAGATGGATCTAGAACACAAGAAGGTACATGGGCAGGAGTATTTGGACCTGGAACCAAATACTCAGAACCCATGGGAAAATACACCAACATCTTCCAATCTGAGATTCATGCAATCGAAAGATGTACCCAACTCAACCTAAGTAAAGGGTACAAAAACAAGAATATAGCTATCATGTCAGATAGACAAGCAACCATCAAAGCAATAAGCTCAAATATCATTAGTTCAAGGATGGTACTGAACTACACAACCAAACTAAACATATTAGGTACGCAGAACAAAGTCAGCCTCTGCTGGGTCCCAGGACACATGGGAGTAGAAGGCAATGAGAAAGCGGACACCCTCGCAAGGCAAGAAGCTGCTACACCGCTGTCACGACATAGGAACCCACACTATTAACGAATATCTCAGGCAGAAGGACAAAAAGAAAATGAAGGAACAATGGAATTCACTCACTGGACACAGACAATCCAAGAATCTTCTAACCAATTTTGGAATAAAAAAACTACAGAATATGTTAAGGGAAGCAGGAATAAATCGCGAATCCTAATAGGATTCCTAACAGGACATTGCAAGTTAAAGGGACACCTAAAGAAGATTGGAATAATTCAAAATGGCACATGCAGATTCTGCAAAGTGGCAGAAGATACACCAACACATCTACTAACAAACTGCGGAGCTACACTAGCCCGCAGGAGGGAATGTTTTGCGATGTATAATGTGACCATGAAGAGCTTCAACCACTGAACCGGTCTTGTTAATCAAGTTTCTTGATAAAATGGGACTCACCGATGTGCTTTAGGCAGAGCACGAGGGATAAAACACCTCTTAAAGGGCGCAGTATACTATACCCTAAAATTACATCTAATCTACAGATTCAGAGCCTATGTATGGTCTTAGAGATCCTCCTTTGACCAATGTGTCTGCTTTTTCGTTACGCAAAATTACTCCGTCGAATGTCATCGCATTTGAAGATAATATGGATGGTTGTTTCCTCCTCCTCATTGGATCCTGCAGATGGGATCATCGTTATCTATGCCATGTTGTCTCAGACGTTAGTGACCGGTTAATAGTCCTATCACTCCTCTGAGTCTAGCTCTGTCCAACTGAAGCAGTTAATTGCCGCTCTTTGTGAGGGTTGTTTTAACATAAAGTTTACTGTTTCTTGCGCAGCCAAAGTTTATCTACTACTCTTTTTATTTTATTTGGATCCATTCTGCGATGGAGGATTCTGCATTTGTGTTTGTCATCCCAAATATAGGTTCCTGGCCTAAAATTCCTTTGAGCCCTGGCACCCAAGATGTAATCAGGTTGTTGTGTTTCCCCAGGTTTTGGAGATTTTGGATGCATTCAGTGACTAATTTTGATGTGATTATTTTACATGCTAATGGTTTAATGGCTGCTTGGCTATCAGATCTTATGAGGGTTTTTTATGCAAGTTTAACCTCTTTTTATTTTCTAGGGCACAAGGGTTGATGTCATGTATTTCAACTTGAAACACCGAAGTGTACTTATGAGTTTGATTGCTCATGTCTTGTTGCTTATATAAAAAATACCCGATCCGGTTCCTTTGTTTGTTTTGGAGCCATCTATATACCATATCTTTGTATCTGAAGCTCTCCTACGTTCTTCCTCTTCTTTATAGTCTGTTGAGACTTTATAGGAGAGGAAGAATCCAAAGATTAAACGATTTTGCGTTGATGAAAAATTTTAACTTTCTTCTTTCACACCCAAAACTCAAAAAACAAATACAAAGTTTCCTAGAAAAAAAGACACAATGTAACATTCTCACCAAAGAAAAACAACGTACAAGAAAATTGTTGTAATTTACATGGGATAAATCATAAACCGACGTCCTATCAACCCGACATCATCGTCCCTATTAACACACTTGTTACAAAATAAATAATAAGCTATTTGAGCAACCATGAAGTAAAACCAACCTGCTAT